ATTCATTTAGTGAATCTACAATGGAGATAGACCCGTCAAGTTCTCACTAACCGGGAGAGACGGCGACTCGAATCGAATTACAACTCGACTGAGGGGGTATTCCTAACACTCACCCGGCAAACCCCGCTAAAGGCATCCGTAGATCACCTTTGGTACAACTCAGGAATCACGGGCCTAATCAGCGCTGCATTATCAGGGTTATCATGCCACCAGGACGATCAAGACCTCGAGGTACCTGCCCTTGGACACTAGCAATTTGCAATGACTCCCCTCTAAGGCGCACTCGAACAGACCGGCTTCTGGCCTAAGCCGAGCTACTTGGCTTCGCGGTCAGACACCCAGGTCTGGCCAGCTAAGTGAAAGGCATGTGTTCAACATGAACAAGGAAAGGCTCCAAGCATCGGTCCTTAATTGACACAGACAGAGTCACTATAAGCATAACCATCCTACAAGCCTCCGTCTAGACTCCATTTCAATTAACCAGGTTCTGTTCTACGGTAGCAAATATAGCCAACCGTGCCATATATAAATATCCCTAAAGCTCGCGGGTGACAGGAGATCACCCGACTTCTACCGTTTAAAGCAGGACTAAGCAATCTACTCGATCCTGACCTACATATGCTTAAGGTATATTTCCTAGACAAGGATTGGATATAAATGCAGCAAGTGTTTTCAATCAACACCTATAACTTAATGCATCAAAATACATACCACATATATACTCAATTGCTTTCATAAACTAGGAGGCTTATAATGCTCCGGGGCTTGCCTCTCACGAAGTTGCAAGGCGTGTGATTTGGACAATCAACCATGTCTCCTTCTGGTGCTTCTTCTGGGGCTTGCACTTCCTGCTCCGGTGGCTGCTCCTCCGGGCTTGGCTCAAATTTCAGAAGAGTGACTCCCTCCGGAAAACCTATTGCATGACGATGCACGAGATAAATATCATAGATGCATAGAAGATGGCATGGTATGATGACATGATGATCATGCATGAGGAACAATGATTAACATAACATCACAACGAAAGAATATTAATCGAGCTCTATTTAAATCACTTTACTAAGTACATATCTCTTCTCTAGAGAGCAAGAACACACTTAGGCATATATCAGGTTTTCAGGCATACAAGTAGTAGTCAAGTAATTTACTCATAACTAGAGATTTATAAATCCAATTTACTTGAAACAAGAAAATTTGGAAAGCTTATGAAATTTTCTACATTTCATATTTAGACACCTCAGCATGATTCTCAAGTTTAGCAGGTCGACTTTATATAAACACAGAATCAGGTCTATCAAGACAGAGAGCAAGCAAACTGTGATCCAACATTGAACTACTGTAACTCCTAAACTACTTGTCCAAATGCCACCAAATTTGAACAAGAGCTAGATACATGAATTATCTACAACTTTTGTATTCACAACGTTTCTAGAAAACCAAATTATCATGATGAACTTTGCAAAGTTCCTAGAACTATCCAGAAAAGCATAATGCAAGAAAATAGTTATTAACTGATGTTGCAAACGTATAAATGGACAAAACCAACTTTACTAACTCATCACACATCTCAAAATAACATCAGAAAAATAAGGTGTTCACCACCAATTCATTTCTTTTAATACCTTTGTTAATTTATTTAGTTATTTAAATGGAATAATAGACCTATATGAAAACTTCACCATTTAGTCTACAAAAATTACAGTGGTTACTACATGCTCTAGGTAGGCTACTATGAAAATGTTACCAAAAGAAATATCCTACACAAAAATAACAAGGCAGAAAGGCTGATTTTTGAATAAATAGGAAATCCTATTGAAAAGTGTCAAACAACAGATTTCATATTTTTTTTAGCATCCTTAAGGCACCAGGATAGCCTCTAATAAATTTCATGAGCATTGGGTTCATATATTAATTATCAAAATTTACCAAAGTATCACCAAATTATAAAAGGGAAAATCATAACTCACAAATTACTCATGCATAGGCTCTCAAACTTTTACCAGAGCTTCTTTACATCAAGACAAGCATGCCATAAACATTTCACAGCATTTGCATCACTAGAACTCCAGATATGAAATTAATAATTTTACAAGCATACAAAAGCATATTTAAAAGGGAAATTTAATGCTCTAGAAAATTTACCACAAGTGCTCAGATTATATTTTTTATAAATACTACACATCACCAAGATCCTAACAAAATTGGAGTCACCCAATTTGGATCTACCAAACTCTAGATATGAATTTTGCAAAAATATAGCAAAATTTGTATTTAAATCAAACCCTAAATACTATTGAGCCATTGACAGGTGGGACCCGTAGGGTCAATGGCCCCACCGTCTAGAGGAAGCAGAGCAGAGGAGCGGCTGTTGACCCGCTCTTGCTCGCCGGCGGTGATGTCTCCAGCGAGGGGGATGGCACCAGCATGCCCTACGCATCTAGGCGCGTCGATAGAGGTGGGTGATGGGAGGGCGGAGCCACCGGAGGTAGCTCGCCGACATTCATGGAGGCACGGCGGAGGAGCCCGGTGGTGCGCCGGCCATCTCTGGCCAGTAGAGGTTCAGCTAGGCCTGACTCTAGCATTAGGGTGCCACAGGGAACGAGAAGGAAGAGAGCGGGGGTGACGAGGTACTCCGGGTGGGGCTGGCCACGGAGCACCCAACTCCGACGAGGTTGCGGTGGCACGAAAATGCAAAATGCGGCCTCACCTAAGGTCGATTGGCTACGCGGAGATGACAACAAGCTAGAGGAAGTCGCAGCGGTGCTGTGGGAGTGATGGAGCGAGGCGAGGTGCGGTGGTGAGCACGCGGGAGCTCGTCGGAGCTCACGGCAGCAATGGCTCTCCGCCGTGGGAAGAAGGAAATGTGGCCTCTATCTTGACTCTCCGGCTCAACGGCGAGGTGGACAAGCTACAGGAGGCGATGGTGGAGTTGTGGGCTAGCTAGAGCAACCAACGACGTGATGGTGAGGGTGCACGGGTTCGACGGAGCAATGGCGATGGCGGCGGCTCTCGGTTGCGGCTGCTGCGCGAGGAAGGAGGCGAAGGGATTGAGGCAGAGACGAGCGTGGGGGCGTGGAGGTCCTTGACGCCACTTCGGCCTGACCAGCGGGCCCGCGGCTGGCGTACGGTGGCCACGGCGTGGCCACGCGGCGGCAGCGGCCTATGGCCGGTCGGCCACTGTGCCGAGCTGAAATTTCGATTCAGCATCCAATCAACCGACTGACAGATCAACTTTGAGCCATTATATCTCCGAATCCATGATGATCTAGTTCATGGTGTACTTGACAAAGTTGGAGATCTAAGTGAGTACTACAACTTTGCCAATTGGAGCTTGAACTGGTTCGGCTTGGTTAGTGAGATACAAAGCTCTAAACATCGATGCATGAAACTAGAATTTCAGTTTAGACTTAGAAATTTTCTAAGTCTCCAAACTACCCCAAAACTGACTTGTGGGCCCTTTATGAGCATGTTATGTATATTTTCATGAGATGGTCATTAAACAAGTTTTGTTCCTTCTAAAATTTTCTACAACTTTGATTAAAGGTGCACAGTCATGCAAACATTCCAAGCTACACTTTTTAAATAGTCAAACAAAAGAGGTCTATAGGTCAACACCAGTCAAACTAGCACTTAGAAGCATAATTAGGGCTAATGACCTTCATGAACATTGTTCCTATTGACATTCTAAGCGTAGTGAAATTGTTTAAGAAGACATTTGACACTCACTTGCATATACCACACATGAGCATACACACATACTAGCATAACTAAGCAACTCAAAGATAAACCAAGCATGAAATGATAACTTTCATCATGATATGATGCTTATGAATGAGTTGATAATGCACATGCTCATGTGATGTAAGTGCTTTAGTGCAACCATAACACTGGGGTGTTACAGTAGTCTTCCGACTACTACGCTTCCATACACTATTGGTTCAAGTAGTCATCCGACTACTATGCCCCCCTCTCTTGTGATTATAATCACTATTGACATATAGCAATATGCTAATTCCTGTCAAGTATGTCTATAGTAACGATAAATGGACCCGCACATGCTGCAAATGCTTAAGGAGACTAAAAATAGTCTCCATGGCTGCACACGCTGCAATTATAAGTGTTTTCCGTGCATTTCACAGCCCATCTTAAGGGTTGACAAAGTCCTATAAAAGATTGTGGTTGCTTTCATCCTAAGGAGCGAAAAATCCTAAGGAACAATATAAATTTTTACATACACTAGGAATTAATGACCGATTTTCATCATATTTCATAATGTCTTTTAAGACAGAGAATATATAAAACAAAAAATCACTCAAGAAGACTATTCTTGATCAACTAATCCTAGGCTATTGGCGTACTCAGTGGCTAATTCCTACATCTCCTTGCTAGCTTTGGATATATCAGCGTCTGTACATACGCGTGGCTTCCTATTGATGATATTCAAATCTAACTGAGGGAGATGGACCTAAAAAGTTGCCAGAATATTTGTTACAATCATCCGCGCCATGTCGTTAATGTACTTTCCAAGGCAGCTGGGTGCAGACTTGATCCTCTCCAAAATGGGTACAGTACAATCTCCTTTCGCCTCAGGGATCATATCTAGCAAAGGCACCAAAGCCTCATGAAGTGCAGATAGTTCCAAGTTCTTCAGTTCTAGTTGCTCCTTTTGCTGCTTCACGGAGACTAATGCCTACGCAAGATCTCGATCAGCATCGTGACAGATTTGCTCTGCCTCTGCGTGACAGATTTGCTCTGCCTCTGCCAGAGTATTTTTAGCTTCAATCTGTACCTATTGGAGCTCATCTTCTTTATCTCCGAAGGCTCTTTTCCAACCGAGTGCTTCATTAGCCTTCTTCTCCATTTCTTTTGCCGCTTCTACAAAAGAGCGAGAAGATCAGTGTGTATCAAAGTGAAAAATTAATACTCGGATGGCAGATTTTACTTACCTTTCAGTTTTTTCTCCAAAGAAGCCTTGCTTGCTCCTTCGCATTGTCTAGATCTCAATACGTCTTGGACTCCCGCTCTATGATGACATCCCATTTTCTGACAATGCGCTTTACATCAGACTCCAGCTCGGAGATACAGGCGCCGAGTATTTGGCAAGCTGTATGGGCCTCAACTTCCTTGGAATGGAGAGCATTCTTTAGCTCTTTAATCTCGGCTAAGTATTTCTCTTCTACACGAGTTTGTTCCTCCGTACACTGGCATTGGATGAACTTAGCTTGATCAGCCACATGGAGGTTCAGCCCCTGCATGAGTCATGCTTATCAGATATATTGGCAGGAAGAATAGATAGAGACCGACTGCTACTTTGAAAATAAATTATTACCTCAATCATTTGATCAAGTACACCAAATTGTGGGCGAATTTGGTCGACTACCCCCCTTATCTTGGCAATATCGGAGTCATATCTGAGTACTTCTATCATCTTCTGAGCGTTGGGACCACCCGAGATTGAGGGGAGTTCTTTACTCACTTCAAAAACAGCAGATACATCAATTGATGTATCAGGAGCGGATGTTGATGGAGGGATTACCTCCTGTTCTTGTGATGGTTGTTCTCTGTGATGACAAAATAACAAGGATCTAACTAATGTTATCTTAGTTATGAAAGACTACCTTTTTTAGATTACTTACCCAACGATCAAAAGCGGACCAGTGGGTAGTCGCAGCTTTTTCTTCTTCTTTTCCACGACTACACTTGTGGTAGTGGTGGTGTCATCCGGTGACTAAAGCTTGGGGGTTGCGCTACTTCCTCCTGCTCCGGATGGTTGTCCTTCTAATAATATAAAATAAGATAATATGTTATCTTTGTGACAAAAGCTGTTTCCAGAATCTAATGTAGTTTGATTAGGGGTTACCTGCCCCTTGAGTGGACAGTGGGGATTGCCGACTACTCTTCGGATCTAGTATCTTTGCAATATTGATCTTTCTGTAGGCTATACGATTACCTGTATGAGCCTTCTTTGGGATTGCAGAAGGTGGCATGTTTATACTCAGGCTCCTTGAGTGCTTCCGAGTACTTCCTTCTTCCCCTGCACTCTCAGGAAGGAGATGGCATCTGACCAAGTGTCTTCTGAGCTCACTTCAATGGATTTGGGGATGTCTTGGACATCTGTATCATCCATAGGCATCTCATGATTAATTCTAGCATCCTCAGTGACCAATGGTGGCTCAGGGCAATCGTTATATCCATGACCCCATCCCTATATTAACAATTGTGGTGAATAAGTAGTCGGATAGAAGAATAACATAGGGATACTTGTTGAATATTTTACCTTAGGGTGCGGCTAGCTTGCACTGAAAGGCCACATCACATCTTTGGGTATCTGATTAGTACCCTTGAGCAACTCCCTCATCAGGATGAGTACTTGTTTTGATGGCAATGCTTCGGGAGTTGTTCTAGTAAGATCTATGGCTTCGAGGTATTCAAAGCCAAAATTTACTCGTTGAGCCATTGGTTGGATCCAACGAGTAATGAAGCTCTTGACGACAATTTCGCCAGTCACTCTAGACATCTTCAACGTGTCAATCTGCTTGATGAAAGGGAGGATCTTGGCGTGCTCTGTTGCGGTCAACTTCTCCAACCATTGTGACTTCTTGCGGGGAGCGAATCTGGTGTGCTTGGACAGCGCTGGAGGATGGTTATACATATAAAACCACTTCTGGTTCCAATCTCTCACAAATTCTAGAAGTTCATACTCCACGTACTCTGCCTTGTTGTCAATGCGTAGCTAGATCCCCGCTCTGCCAACTGGAGTCGCTTTCTGGTCGCTGGGCTGGCACTTCATCTAGAAAAAGTGACGAAATAGGAGGATGGATGGGCAAATGCCAATGAATGCTTCGCACAAGTGTACGAAGATTGAGATATGGAGGATGTCGTTTCGTGTGAGATGATTGACAGTCAAATCATAAAAGTGCAGGAGGTATCAAAAAAACATGGATGATGGTAAACCCAAACCTCTCTACACGAATGAAGTAAACATTACAGTCTCTTGACCTCCTGCTCCTAGGTACATATCACCTTTGGGGGCTCTCCAATGACCAATGGCTTTATCTGGTACCAGTCTAGCAGTCACCAATTCTTCAAGGTGTTTGTCTTTAGTGATTGGCGGCTTCCATGCTAGGCATTCCAATGGCAGTTGCTTCAAGTTCATGTTAGGCCATGAATCTTTCTTGACCTATTTCTTGGCTTGCTTACTGATCTTTCCCTTCTTTGGAGCCATGGATCTGATTGCGGCTGATTTCTTCACTCGCATCCAAGATTGGTGCCCTTGCTTTTGCAAGACCCTCGTTTCGATCTGCTTGACAGTTTTGGGGTGGCAGCGCTCAAAGGTTGTGGTGATGAGGAAGGAATAAGGGTGGAGTGTGATTAGGGCTTAACCCTATGGATTTACTTATAATAAGTTTATGGTTCATTTAAATGGGCCTTAACCCTTCGTTTTCCGAAATCGCCCATATTGAGTTGGCAATTAACGTCGTCTTCTCACAATGGAAACCCTAACGGTGTGTGACGGTTAGATCCGTTACTTATCTGTTTTGCATGGTACTCGAAAGAATAATTGCTTAATTATATAGTACTCAGAATGCATGAATAAGTACTCCGGTGTATCTCAAAAGTACTCAATTATCATCATACATCCATTATATACTACTAACAAATGTAAATGGAGTTTTTGAGCTTCATTTTTTAAAGTACGGGTGTTACAAGTACAAGGCCGTTTGGGCCACATCACAAAGACAAGATACAACAACGATCTTAGCAAGAAAGATAAACCCCACTGCACATAGGTTCAAGTTCCAGGAGTTGTGTAATGGGGCTAATCAAGAAGTGCATCTCTACCTAGCGAGAGGGTCTGCGAGCTACTCTAAACTATGGACAATTCTTGAGCGTGAGCATATGGTTCAACTAGCGCATTCACAGCATGGCGGCTAGTATGCAGGAGAAGCTTTTGTAGCTCTTCATCCTACACCCTTCAACCACTCGACGTCTGGACTCGCTCAGAATCTGCCAGTGACCCTTGATGGACACACATCGAGTGGCACCGCGAAGAACTAACATGGGACTATGTTTTGCAGCATTACATCGCATAGTAACAAGAGTTCTTTTAGCTGCGACTCTAGGCTACTTAGAGGCACACAACTCTAGGATTAGCTTGCTTCTAATCCCTAATAACAAGAGATCTTCTAGTTGCTTTTGATTGTTCTATCTATCAAACTGACTACTCCTGGGGGCTCAGATACTTCTGCGATATTCATATTTGGTTCTCTATACCTCTACCAGTGTTTGCTCTTGGTTTTGTTTGCTCGACTGGAGGGTATTTATAGGCAAATATGGGTCTGTGATGGACTAAGTTTATACAGTTATCACGGTACAGGACAAGGCTTCACATGTGTACAGTCATGGATGAGTCAGCACGGATTCCTATCTCTTAAAATGAATCCTGCTTCCAAAAGAAAGGATTCTAATAGGGCCACGTCACCTCGTCATCTCTCGGCCGTCCGATCCGATAGGTACGTTTACTCGGCCGTTGAATCGTGGGTGGTCACGTGGACAGGTTGTCTCGCTCCCAGATTCATCGGCGGGATTTGCGTGTGCGTTTCCTCCTCCAGTCCTCCGGCCCCGTTGCCCTCCGCGGCCCCCCGCACCTCCCTCCTCCCCCGCAGGCAAGGGCGGCGGAGCGGCCGACGCCGGCGGCTCTTGGTGCAAGCGTTTGCGAGTGGTGCGCGAGTAGATATGGGTCACCGGCGCTAGCGCAGGGTGGCACGGGCCCGATGGCCGATTCCATGGCCCAGTAAGGCGTTGCTTCTTCGGCCCCCTGAACCTCACATCCCCTTCCCTCGGCGCTGCCCCTCATCGCCACCCTCCTCGGCCGCGGCGCATCAAACCCCGGCGCGCGATAGCCCGACACCCCTCCTCGCAGCCCCTGCGGCCATCGCCTCGTTCGTCGCACCTGCGTCTGCGAAGCGGAGCACGGCCCCACGGCCATGAGCTTTGGTGACGCTCATCCCATAGCAGTCGCCGTTTGTACAGAAGAAGCAGGTCGACCGCCTCCAGTGCTTCCTTCCGCTGGCGTTGGTGAAGCAGTGGATTGGTCCAGCTTGGGGAGCCAGCAGCACACTCGCGCTGCTTCTGAGCAATGCCTGCACACCGTGTGCTTGACGAATTGCCCGTGAGAAGTGCAGATAGCTGAAGAGTGTGAAAAGGCATGGTCTAGCGACGGGCATGCGGACATGGCCATGGAGCTGCTCAACATGGACCTTCCAAGTGCTAAAGCCACAAAAAGGCACTAGCAGATCATGTCTGTGCCATCCTTGTTTCCAATAGCCATTTCGTTAAATTCAGAAATTGGGAAACTATTTCTAGAAATAGAACCGTGGAGCCGGTCTAAACCCGTGCCGGTGGCCGAGAGCACCTCGCCCTGCCACCTCGACCTCTCGGCCGAGCTGGTCGGTGGCGTGGCCGCGACGTGCGGCACCGGCGGGGCCCCGTTGCGTTGACGCGCTGAGCGCCGCGCTAGGGAAGCGCCTTGTGCCGCTGCCCCTTCCCAAGGCGACGTGCGACACGGTGCTTTGCTTCTGCGGCATCCGGCTCCACCAGATCGACTGGCTCTGCTGCCCCGCCGCGTTTGCCGTCGGAGCTGGCGCCGCGGCCAAGAACGCCACGCCTACCGCTGGCGGTGAACGATCTGGAGAAGAGCTGCCGCAATGCCTCCTACGCCGGCAGCTTCCGATGCGTACAGTCCCTGCAAACGGTAAAACCTTTTTCTTGCTAGCTTTCTCTCCTAAAATGATGCGGCCTGGTTTTATGTCATTTTCTACTTCTAATAAAATGCATGTGACAAATTGGAGTTGCAGAATTTTGGTTTGGGAAGCCCATTGCATATCTAAATGGGGAATCCTTTCTTGCGCCATCAGAATATAATGGCCATTGTTGTATCTATTTCTTCTAGGTTATGAGTAAGCGCTATGTGATGTACCTATGTTCAATGCTTTGCCTAATTGACACTACATGCAACTGACAGAAAATCCTACTCGATGAAGTAAACAAATTTGGATTGCAGAAAATTTCAAGCTGTTGTGCTTGCCTAAGGTAACTCTATCATCCATTGCACTAATCTGGATTGCAGAATTAACCTGGCATATGGTTGAGACCTCGGCACAAGAAAAATGCAAATAATTTTACCCTTAAACTTTGGTATGTTCATTACAATGCCTATGCATTTGTTCACTAGAGCACCAAATTATCAGATACAGATGTTTATGCAAATCCTTCAACAGGACAAGTTACTGAATTATTTGTTTTTCCTGTCTTCACTCTCATAACACAGAGTGGTCAATCAAGTTACAAGATTAGGCATGACAACCACCTAAATTTGTTTGGTTAATACAATTTTCATTTAGTTGGATATGATGTATAAGTCGCTATTTATCTTGCAATACTGGAGTTCTAGAATCAGATTTTAACTTATCGAGACTGTTTACCTTTTCAACCAATTATGATCACAGATTCATGTACATTGAGCCCTCATGTTAACTCTTCCTCTACCTTCCTCTCAAGTTCAGTTCTTATACAGATACATCCTTATACTGCCAAACTTAATTTATATAACTATATTTTCTTTTTCTTTTCTGTGAACTACATAAATTTTGCAAGCATTATCGATTACCTTCTCAACCCTATATACTCCTACAGGATCTGCCATTGGTTAAGACCATTGCCATTCAACCTGCTTCACATGGCCTCTGCTTTGCTAAGATGCAGGAAATGGCCAAATAGCCATGGAGATTGCTTCTGTGGACTAAAGAACCACCAACAATGTGATAATCATGGATCACATTTCAGATATTTTGCCGCTACCGATTGATTACTTTACATTACACGTTACAACTTACAACCGGCATTGATATGAACGAATTAATAATTATCAGACTTTTTTGGGAGTACTACAACTTAGTGGACTGTTTCCTTTTTAATAGAACCACGAAAAAAATAGCGCGCTAATAGCGTCCCAGATAGCTCGCCGCGACGATATCTTGCATTTTCACGCTATACGCGCTATTGCCGCTATAGCGCGCTAAATCGCCGCTATTGCTGTTTCATGTGCTGACAAAAAAAAACGAGGCAGAGTCAGATTTAGGCCCATCTTGAGCCCTCTAACCCTAATCCAGAGTACCCTCCGTTATTGTTGTTTCATGTTAGCTACTGAATATTTGAACCTTATGGATGTTTAGATTGTATGGAAGTATGAAACTATGAATATGTTGCCTGTTTGGACTGTTTATTATTTTTTTGTCTGGCTGTATATAAATAGCGCGCTATAGCGGCGCTATAGCGACGATATAGCGTGAGCAGCTATCTCACGCTGCGGCGCTCGCGGCTATAGCGGCGCTATAGCGGCGCATAGCTCCTAGGAGTGGCCGCCGCTAAATTATATAGCGCGCGATTTTTTTCATGGTAAATAGAATTAAAATCGAGCATTGAAATGTGATATGTATGCAATCCTTCCTATCTGATATAGGCTGTGCAGGATTGAAATGCAATATGCTATGCTGATTCCCACACTGATGGTCTCCATATGGACATTCCTACTTTTTTTTTAATATAGGTTCACTGGCCCTGCTACCGCGTGTAGCGCGGCAAAGCCGCGCGTAGTTTCTAGTTGAATAGTATAAGGATTCTGATTCAGTCATGTGTCTAAAGTTCAAAAAGGGTCGGTTCTTTTTATTAAAGTCTGTGGTATTTATTCCAACACTACTCACATTAATTGCAAGATTTATTACTAAGGATATTCACTGGATCATATATCATAGTACCGAGTACTCTGACATAGGCTCGGGGGCTAGGAGTGTATATCCTCAGTTGTGTATTTCAAAATTGTTTTTAAGGCATGAAGAATGATGGTAAGATCAGATCCCCTGGCCATTTATGCTAAATTGCAAGAGGCTCGAGGGCTACAAGCATATATGCTTCACCTAGCGATGATACATATATTTTTACTTTGAGCACATCATGGCTTCTCTTAAAAGTACTAGGAAGAAACTTGATTCTACATAGGAGATTCAAGGAAGTCATTTAAGATCAACTATGAAGAGCTCGGGGGCTTGACGGATCAGGATCCTAGGGATTCCTTAATGGGCCGAGTACTCGGAAGAA